TTTACCAATTTTGATCGAAGATATGGATTCCTCTCCCCCATTCATGAATCCTAATCGCCCGTTCGGATCCTTTCTTCTTCCGCCCTCCGGACGGGGACGGGTCTGGCCGCTGCCCCATCGACCTTTGATCCACCTCCCAAAAATGCACCCACGCCACCCCGTCTTACGGACGTTTCTAGAGATTTACGCAAAAAGAACCCGTCTCCTCGTTGGGGGTGGAATCTACCCCTGTTGCGCCTCCCGGCCGTAACCTACGACGGCTCTTTCCCCTAACCGATTATATAATAAATTAAAGCATAAAGTTCTCCGCAGGCACCGGTTTAGCTTAAATGCAATTTAAACTAAACTGTTTCTTTCCTTTTTTGTTTCTATATTGTCTACTTGCACCTTGTTTATTAATTGGAATTATTATTTCACACGGGTGAAAATAAAGATATTTTGATTTGACTTTTGACTAACATCTCCTCTATTTGCTAATCGGAAACTAAACCAGTGTAATAAGTCCTATTAATAAACCAGGCCCGGTACACGATATAGAAACAAAAAAGTAAAACATTAAGAACGTAGAGGAAAACATAATTGCAATTTGTTTAGTTATGATGTAATGCAGCTTTATTTTTTGTTTAAATCTCGCGTTTAAATTTTTTGTTTAAAATATGTATTTCCTTTAAATTTTAAAAATTAGACCGTATACCTGCGAAATTTACGTATAAAATTCGGGTGGCACGCATATAACACGCGTAATACAGTCGACCCCCTATAACACTGTTGATAATTCTGTTTTATATGAATTCCATGTTGTATGAGTCACTTAGATTTTACAATTACGTGAGCCGTTCATAGTTCGGCACATGTATTTGTAAAATCTAAGTAACTCGTACAACATGGAATTCATATAAAATGGAATTATCAACAGTGTTATAGGGGGGTCGACTTGTATAGGCTATATACTAAGTATGAAGTTAATATAGTTACATATCTAACGTAATTTTTAAAACTGTGTCGATGGTTTTAAAAAGTTTTAGCCGTGGAAGATTTATTTAATTTAATTAGTAGATTTAATTCGTAGATTCGGATTAAAGAGACACATACTAAATCTACGTATTCATCAGCTAACACACCAAATATTGAGAAGAATTAATTTAATTCGAAAGTCAAGCCGAGAAGCTGGAGAGTGTGGAAAAGAAAAGGGTGGAAAATAAAACCAAGGCCCGTACGACCGTGACTACGCCATTATTTTCGGTTTTTAAAATAATTTTTCCAACAATTAGGTGTTATATTTATTATTGGCGCAAAAATCCTCGTTGAACGGGATAAAAGTTCAATTGATAAGCCAACGATTAAACTCCTTAATAAAGCTGCATCGGAATATCCGAATGAAACGTTTTTAATTCGATTTTTAAAACTTATACGTTTATGTTAAATTTTTATAAGTTTCCGATCCGAACTTGATATTAAATTTAACTTTAGAATCGATTAAATACATTTATTTAAGAAGTATATTTAATTGATCCGGAATTTAAGCAGACATTTTATTTGGTAAAGTTGTATCGAAAGCATTTTGTAAAAATAAAAAACTGGCCAGTCTTACATCCTTGAAATATTTAATAAATTAAATGCCGCAAAACTGCGGAAATAATGCCTAATTTTTAGATTTATTTTTCGTGTTTTAAAGTATATTTTATCATTGAAGAGTGGATTCGGGCTTCTACGAAAATTATGGCGTAAATCACTAGAAAAAAAACCATTTTTACTGAAAAATGACGAGGAATTTTCCAAATATTTTATATAAAATTCTTAATCGAAGGTAATTTTGTTACATTTTCGATTGAGACTTTTTCCCCCATTCGGACGACGACGTTCTTTTAATTATTATTTGACAGCCAAGAACTGGAAATGTTCGTATTATTATCAATCGGTAGATTCTTCTGTTATCTACAATTAATTAATTATAATTTTAGTCAAAAAGCCAAGGCTTATGCTAATGTCTACAGGACGTATTTACTTATCTAACGTTAAAATTGAAGTAAGTTATAGGCCTGGCGAATTTTTTTATTTTCCTTGTTCGAGAAAAATTTATGATTTAGATTCTGAATAAAATTCGCATTCGTTTAAATAGAGAAATCTATAACCATGAATTGTTTATTTATTTTATTTTTTTTTATATAAAACTTTTGACAAATACATAATAAAATCGGCAAACGTAACGGTTGAAGAATTTTGACATTAAAAAAACATCGGGAAGGTTTTAAAATATATAATTTAAACAGCATATTTGGCTTAAAAAATATAATTTTTAAAATTTTACTTTTAAAATGTGAAAAGTAAAGTTAAGCGATAAGTAATAAATTAATAGAGAAGATTTACGTAAGATACGTATCGGCATAGGTGCAGCCAGAAGCAAGTTGGGCGTTACGCGTGTAAATTCAAATTTTCAGTTTATAGGCGACTGTATATTTATGGGGATATTTTCGACGGTATTTTATAAATATCCATTAAAAATGGGGGGATGCGGAAAGGAACGTCGGTGGTTAACGCGAATCGACGACAAAACAAGGTGACAAATACATGCAAGGAGCTCGGCAATCTCTAAATTCACCTGGGGGGTTCAGTCAGAGAATTTAATTTCGTTCAGATGGGACTACCGACGTAATTTCTCCACTTTACACTTCTTTAGGAGCAAAACGAATTCCAAATGTAATTTCTTCTCAGAGATTTCTTGAAAAATTCGCTAACGCTCGAGTGCTTCTACCTTCAGATACTTTACTTAGAAGATTTTTTCCTTTATTCTTTACACTTTAATAGACGTCAAAAACAATTCGCCGAAACTTAACTTATTATTAATGAAACAAACCCCAAAGTTGTTTTAATTACTGTAACAATTTTTCGCGGAGCTCGGGGAGTTGTGCAAATGCTTCGTTAGATACTTTGGACGCCGCTCTGGTGGCCGAATTAAAATCATAAAGAGAGGGAGAGAGAGAGAGAGAGAGACGTTGAAAATAGCGAAGGAAAAAATCTGCAGTGGCACTTACATATTGCAGACAGCACCTGGTCGAAATATTTTTCTGTTTCGCTTGTTTCTGTATTAACAAGCGTGTCGAGTTACAAATACCCGCACGAAATTAAATGATAAACGTATTTTATTAAGTTTGTTGCATTTTTTGTTCCTTTTTTTCCCGGCGCACTTTTTCCCTCTTCTTGTTTCTTGCGTCTTTGGTTGTTGAGGTTTGCAATTTAATTTCGTGTTTTGGAATCTTGATTAGAAAACTTTTTTCCTCTTCTTTCTTCCAATAGTTTACTGCCTAATATCATTTTTGAAAAATACTCGAATAATAAACGATGAGTGCCGGAAAAATTAAATACGTTGAAAAATAACCGATTTCCGAGTTATTAAAATGATTAAATTGCGAATTATCGGTAATAGTTTATCTTCATCCTGCAACTGCAATCATATTATTATTTATTATACATGCTACAACACTTTGCCGAATTAAATGGCGAATAATTTTCTGAATAATTTCGTAAATTGTTAGCCATTAATTATAATAATATTTATTAAAATAACTTTTCGGCAAATTTTATCACACCTTCGTTTGTTCTCAACCGAAAAATTCATTTTTCTCCTGGCTTTTTATTTAATAAAAAAAAAATCCTCAATGTGGAAAATACTGCAAAGAATTGCGTGATTTGCTTTCATTGTATTAATTTTTAATTAACTTATTCATGAATTAATTATGTTGTAATTCTTGATAAGTCCTATTAAATTTCTATTATTATTATTATCGCAACCTGTTAAATCTCTCTTATCAATTCTCATGTCTGATTATCGATTCCGATAGCGATTATTATAAGTTCATTATTAAAAAAGGGGACGATAGTGGCCGGCATTAATGACGCCGTGATGATTTTTAATTTGAACATTGCAATATGTGTATTCCGAGGTATTTATATTTAGCTTATATCTAAGGAGAACTTCTTTATGAAAATTTATGACATGGACAATATTAAATTTTTGAGTTTAAAACGCATTATGCGGCATTTTAAATATTTTTAATATTAAAAATAACAAGTTACTTAATCTTTTCCTATTGTTTAAATATTATCTCGTGCAAATTAAATTCTGGACATAAAAACGTGCTTTATTCCGAAATTAGGAAATAATTCGATTGATAAAACATTCAAATAATATTATTTATTTCAAATTTTTAATCGTAAGTGTAGAGCATTAAAACAGGTAAGTATTACCCAAGTAAAGCCGCAGATCAAGTTTCGACAAAAGTTTCTTATATTCTTAATTGTGAATTTTAAAGAATTTTCTTGTTAAAGAAATAAAATAAATGAATAAATAACTCCCAAGTAAAATTTTAAAGCAGACATTATAAATTCACCCCCCAAAAAAGAAAAAACGATGCAAACAGCACATAATGCTGGGAGGGAATAGAACCCACCTTCTTCGATAACAAGAGATCACCGATAGACACCAGCTTTTAAGATTTGGGTTTCTTTCTTTGGTCAGACATCAGGTTTTATGCCCGTGGATTACACTTTGAGTATTATCTTTTATTAACAAATCAATATATGAAAACACTACTATTAATATAGGCCTATAATGGAATTAAAAAAATAACATAATTTAAGAAATCTATTAGTTAAATACTTGGTTTTAAACGTTGTAAATTAATGTATAATTAATTTTCATTAAATTTTGGAATGTTTCTAAAATTAGATATCGCTATTTATAAATCTATCCAATCTCGCTTTGTATTGTGGAATTATCGAAAATGGTGGATGAATTCCGAGCAAAGTTCTTAAATTTTCTGTCGTTCGACTTATATTTTTTGATTTTGTAAAAGATTTTAAAATTCATAAATTTATAAAACTTAACCTTAGAAAACTTTTGAATATTCCATTTAATTTTTAAAAAGGTATCTAACTTAATAAACTTTTAAATACCAACTTCTACAACATTTTTTACTAATTCGAATAAACGTTACAGACTGTACACTGCAGAAGGCCTAAATATAGTTTATATACCGTACCGCATATATTTATATATATTTGTATATGACAAGGAGTTCTTCACTTTCGCGGAAATTAATATTTCTTTTCGAATAGAAGAAATAGATTTAAAAGAAGACATTCCTCTAACGAAAAGTCGCATTTTGGAATGTGATTATTTGACTCTTGCGTAAGATTTAGAGTTTTTTTTTGTATGAACAATCTATAAAATTTCCCATTCATTTTCTTCCTATTTCTAATAGAATAGTTTATATAAATTCTAATTTACGTTCATACTCGTTGACGAATGACTTATTTAAAATCACTCGTTTTCTAAAGTGGTTAAACGTTTGTTCGGAATGAATCTTTGTAACTATCTTCCTTTAAACGGTAATTGTTTTACAGTATTTAAAATCGGTTTGTCCGAATTATAATAATCTTAATTTGAGAATATCATTTTGACATTATTTAAATATTTGGAAGTAAAATGGAATCTCTGTAAATCGAGATTTTAAGTATTGTGGAAGCGTTAAATACATTATTGTTTGGGCAGAGATTGTCGCTAGATATGCAGAGTTAGACGTTTGGTCGATGCCCGACGTCGATGGATGCTACTTTCTGCGTTTTCTTCGTTATCGAATAAGAACGAATTTAAAAAACTTGTGATGGCTTCCGTTAAGAAGTGTTCGAAATCTTTCTTTTTCGTTATAAATTACAGAGTAGCTGAGATCATTTATTTGTAAACAGCTTCATTGTAACACAGTTTGAAGTATCCACAATAAACAACTGTTGTTAAAATTACAAGCAGATTCTGACTTTTTTAAATAAAAAATCAAAATTCTGTACTTCTGTATGTCTATATACAAGTATTATAAGATTTGACTGTAACAAATCAAAACCTATTCCATCTAAATAGTCTACAGGACTTTAATCTCTCCTTCCTCGTCTGTCGTGTCACACTCTTGATTACTAGCGGCGTCTTGCATCAGGCTAACGCTATCGGAACACAGAGACTGATCCCTAATATCTTGATCCGAAGACTTGTTATCTAAAGTAACGTCACTCAAGTCGGGATTTGGATTGTGTTTATTAGGCAAAGTTTGTTCCCTGGAACCACCGGAAGATAGCAATTCTCTTTCTTTCGAGTTCCTCCATTTCATTCTGCGATTCTGAAACCAAATCTTCACCTGCAATTAAATTCACAATTCCAATTACTTTCCAAATATACTTTTTATTCACTAATTCACTAATCCGAAAAATATCGTAAAAACTACGTAATTTAGCTTATTTCTAATTTTACGCAAATACGCGTAGCATTAAATTTATCGGTTCAAAATGGCAATTTCAATACCGACTACATTTACACGAAACGGGCCTTTAAAGCAAGGCGTTGGTATCGAAACTAGACATTTCTACGGATCCACAAAGGGTCGTTACGCGTACTGCTATTTCACCGACCATCCGATTGCCGACAAAAAGTTATCACGGCCCTATATTAACGAGCCAGCATCGAATCCCGTCCGGCGACAAAGTTTTATGAGGCTGTCATCACATTAAATGAGACCTCCACCCCGAGTCAGTCCGATATATCCCCGATACGGTCACAATCTCATCGCCAGCTGCCAAACGTTTTGCTAACAAACAACAATAGAGTTGTGGCAGCTGGTGCATCAAAGTCTCTTCCGCACCTCACCGACCATTGTCGAAACGACAGAGTCCAGCTTCGTCTCCTCGGCTAAACCCACCCAGGAATCCGTAAGCGGACAAAAGATCCGACTCGATTGCGTCATGCATGCAAAACTCCGTTTAACGCCTTTGCAACTTCCCCACAGAATATTGTGAATACAGATGATACCACAGCTGCGACCAATAACGTTTTAGTATCCGCCACGGAGCATGCGCCGTAGCGGCTATCCGGTGGGTTAAGAGGACTGGAAAATCATCCCCCGTTACTACCCCTAGGTACGCTTAGTGGTGTCACGGGACCCCAGGGGGTTGTACGTCTCTCCTTTTGGCTTCATTGCATCATAATGGCTTGTCAATTAAGAGCCTCTTTCCCTCGACATAACTCAATTAATATCTAAATATCAATGGTCGAAAGTTTAGCAAAGAGAACTGTCGCCTTACGTTTTGTATCTGGCGTCAGACAATGGCTCATACAAATACAAGAGAAAGAAAAGAGTTTAATTACGCCGAAGAAAAAATTTTTCTACTGCTCTTTCTATTTATTTCACTCGTTTGGACACGTTTCCGTTTATATTAATTTCGCTTAACGCAGTTCGATGGGGCGCGGAAACTTACTCGTATCAATTTACGCGGACGATGAAGGATATTTACCTGCGAATCTTTCAGTCCTAATTTTTCCGCTAATTTTTTTCTGTCCGGTTTGCTGATATATTTCTGTATTTGAAACCTTTTCTCCAATCCTTGTCTTTGAGCGTCCGAAAAAACGGCCCTTCTCATCATTCCCCTCCTGGGCTTACCTCTGGCCGCCGCAGCCCAGGGAAAAGTTGCCGGAAGAGGAAACGTCACCCCGGAAGTCGAGGTCACGCCAGCGATTCCGTTAACTCCGTTCATTCCCGCCATGGTGGCATATCCCGCTATTCCCGTCACCGTTAGGCCCGAATTAGAACCTGAAACGAAAAGCATTTTTTTCATTGGTAAAAATTCTTATTAACCACATTTTCAGTTTATCCCTGCAAACTGATCCGTTTGTTTCCGAAAATTGCCGTAATTTAGTGTAAAATACCGGTGTGGAATTAAACTAAATTAACGCCAATGGCCATTGATTAATATTGCCGTCCACGAACTTGGATCGATATCCGAGTCGATTACAGATTTATAGTGAAATTTAACAAGCTAAAGACGAAAAAATCCAACACTTTTCCAACATTAAATCAAAATGTCTCGGATTTAGCTGTGGCTTAACTAGCGTCGAGCTAGAGCTAAATCCAAAGGTTTATTTTACTTTGGTCCCTTTTGAAAATAATCTAAATTCATTTATTGAAAAGCTTTAATTTAAGCTGTGTATTTAATACCAATGCACATCTACATTGGTATTAAATTTGTAAAAATTTAACCAAGTTGCAAGGAAAAAATAGAAATTTATATTTTCTCGTCAATAATTACGTAAAATATCTTAAGAAATAGAAAATAATATTTTAAAAAATAACGATAAAAACGACGAAAGTATAATTTTGTATTTACTAAGAAAATCTCTGGAAAACTTTTAGCAAATAAAAATTATTTCATATTTATAATAAAAACGAATTAGATGGCAATTCTCGGGCCAATTTCATACGAATTACAATTCGGAAGAATTCAAATTTCGAGAACGACAAAGAAAAAGAGGGTGGGTTTTTTCTTTAAAGGCTCTTTTGCGGCCAGCGTATTTCATTTAATAATTTTTCGATGAATCTAATAATTTTACTAAGTTGTACAGTACATTATATATTCAGAGGCGAGGGGATATACTTTTTAGGTTAGAAAATTTAGCGGAAATTTTCTGAACCGTGAGATGATTTCCGGAAAAGTTTACAGAAAAATACAAGTGTGGATTGTAGCTATTGGCCAATACGAAAGTTGGCCGCCGTTCCCGACAAAAACTAGGATTTTTTGTGGGACGATCTCTGGCCTTTACGTTAATTTCCTTACCTGGCGGATCCTCGTGGTTCTTAGCGGCAATTAATATTTTAAGCCGTTTTGTGGTAAAGACGGCTTTTCGTCTTTCGCGGTAATTTTATTGGACATTTTTACATTAGGAATTTAATAATTAAAATTTTCAAATTTAATTAATAATCTCGTTCTCACGTAAAAATATAAAGACAATAAACTTTGTCGGATAAAATTAGCTAATAAATAAAAATTAAACGTTTTATTTTGTTTATAGACCAATTTTAGTTAATTTTTTCTTACAAAGAATTTTTTTCCTTTTTAATTAGTTTCGTCGTGTTTTTACTTCTAACGTATAAAATTAAAAAGTTTATATATTATCGTCGCAATTATTTATTAACTCCTCCTTAAGAATGCCATTTTATACGGTAGTTAGTGGCCTTAATAAAGTAATCCCCACTCGAATTTTTTGAAGTGGCAAATAAATCTGTTTTAATTCTCCCTTAAATGTTTTATCGGAAGAAGTTTAAATTCGGAGATTTGCATCGATCCCCGTACTTTCGTATAAAGTCTCCGTTCGAATCTTCTGCTAATTGACGATTGCCTTTTTCTTCTTGCCATTTTCGAATTTAAGATTTCTTTCTTTTCTGAAGATTTTTGTGAGAAAAAATTGGACAATAATTATAAATAAATTTCACTTTTTAGTTGAGAAGTGCGTGAAGAACGTTTGTCTTAAATTCGAATTAATTCCAATTTAAGATACACGTCCGTTCACGCAACGTTCGAAATTTTTTATGGCGATTTTAATATTATTAATAACTTGAAATTGTAAATAAAATTTTAAATGCTTTAAAATTATAACTTATTACGCAAATCGTGTGAAAAAATTTAAAATGGCGTTGGTATTTTATTGCCATTTTCACGCGACTGGGTCCCGATGTTTGACAACCTTTTTTACCTATAAATGTATTTCTTACGTTTCTAATTTTAATCTAATTATATTGTTATCCAAATGACGTCAGAACGACGAAAATGCGTTGTTTTTAATTAATAAAATATTAAATAAATCGATTCAAAGTTATTAATATAAAACTCAATTAAAATTATTTAATGGGGAAAACGTGATTAAATTTTTTTTCTGTAAGTAAAGTTCGACGCTTCGCGCTTAATCATCGCGTTTATTTATTTTTTGAGATTTTGTTTCNTGAACTTTTCCCGTTGGTCAGGTAATATTCCGTGGGATTGTTACCTTAGTTTTCGAATCTTGCTTCAGTTTTTGATACGTAATCTTACGTAAATATGTTTCTAATTTTAATCTAATTATATTGTTATCCAAATGACGTCAGAACGACGAAAATGCGTTGTTTTTTATTAATAAAATATTAAATAAATCGATTCAAAGTTATTAATATAAAACTCAATTAAAATTATTTAATGGGGAAAACGTGATTAAATTTTTTTTCTGTAAGTAAAGTTCGACGCTTCGCGCTTAATCATCGCGTTTATTTATTTTTTGAGATTTTGTTTCTTTTTATTGATCGAGAATTGCTTTTTAAAATCATTAGACAATATCGAATACTGATTAACGCCCAGATTAAATAATATACGACACGCTTCTAAGACTCGAAATTGATTCTGTCTTTGAATATAATAAAACAATAATAAAAATTTATTCTAAGTCTATTAATTAATATTCAATATGTAGGCCCGCTACCAAGAGGTATTCTAACGATTAAAAAGTTAAAGTCCCTGGAGGGCCCTTCTGTGCCTTCTTCTTACTCCATTCTCTGCTTTTATCGCATTGTTTATCTTCCTTTACCCGCTTAAAACGACATAAACCAATATTTTAGACGTAGTAATTAAAACTTTATTACGCAAAATTTTTCCCTTCCTCCGGTCGAACCCCCTCCCCCAGCGTACGTACTGTACGAGCTCCACAGGTATTGCGTCAGCATTAAATCACAATCGATAGGGGACATTATCATTGCAATCTCTTTTTAAAAATTTCATTTATTGCCTATATTTAATAAGTGTAGCTTCGATGAAAGTAAATAAAGGAACTCGAGCAGGAAAGAAAAACAGTTTTGCGATTGGTTGTAAATAGAAAGCTTATAGGATGTTAGACACCGAATTACATTTTGCTTCGACGCTATCGATTATCATAATTGTCATTAAAATGATGCGTTGCTTTAAATTACTGTCTCACTAATAGAAACTTTAAGTCTTAATTTATATACCGTTGTCACGTCATTTGCAAAGACCGAGTGTTTAATTGTTTAAGATTCCAAATCGATTGGATAAAAATTTGAAATTTGGAATCGCGCGTTTTCCGGCTTCGGTTTTACAAAATAGCCAAGAAAAGTGATTTTAAAAGTTTAAAATAATTTATTTTCTTTAAATTATTTGGACGAATCCAAGTCCGGAATTAAACGAAACCGTTGGCAGTAATTGTGTCTCTAGCCAAACGAAATAAAAAACTTTCAAAATTTGCAAATTTATTGAGCAAATTCTCGATTGTATTTCTTAAAATAATTCTTTATTTATTACTAAATTCTTTTCTCGATATTCTACTAAATTTTCCCAAAGACAATTGAGCAGAATTCTGTTAGAAATTCACCGAGAAGATTAAAACTGAATCTGAATATTCACGGAATCTGAAAGCTTATTCCCGCTTATATTAATAAGCGCAAATCTATAAATTAATAGCAGGCTTAATAAGTAAACATAGGTTTCGATTTCATTGAATAATGATGATGCTTCCGAATTTTTATTTTGCAATTCCTTTTGTCGTAAAAATTAAATTTCGACACGCTGTTTTATTATCGAAATTTAACCGAATCATATGGAAATTTCATACAGTTTATTGGAATTTCCATATGATTCTACAAATCGTCCGATAGATTTCCTACGTTATCTTTCCGAACGTCTAATATAAAAAGTATTATCGAGGATATTTATTAATTTCGACCTCGGAACACACTTTAAGCGCTTTAATTTTATTAGGATAACGTACAGTACAGTACTGCATAGCACAGTACAGTACAATACACTAGTACACACTACTTGGCAACAAAACGAAATCCGACCGACGTATGCAGTCATATTGTGCCGACAAAACGAATGCGCCTTCTATTTTTTGTTTAAATAAATTTTTTCTATTTTTAATATTTTGTTACATTTAATTTTTTTTAAATTGCTACGGTTATTACCGAGTCTCATCTTAAAGTTAATATATTTATTTTTGTAATAAATACAGACAGATTAACTGCAATAATTTATAATAATTATTTGTTATATTAACAATAACAGTAGCTTTGGTACCGTACATTTAAAAAAATGATTCTTAATAGCCGGAGGCCTAATGGAAATTCTAAGGGAATTTTTCGCTTTTTAACTAAGAAAAAAAATCGCTTGGAAATTAAATTAATAAAAAAAATTAATCGGCAGAATGATTCGGTACGATTTTTAATTATAATCTACGGTTATAAAAGAAATTTGTGAAAGTTTTATTTATTTTGTAAATTTATCCAGAAATGATAATAATTTACGCTTATAAAAAATATATAAATTATAGATTCCGAATAGTGTCGATAATTTACAAATTCAATTGATAAGCGAAATTTCAGGTGAAATTCTCTTGGCGATTTTTAACGGAGAAAATGTCCATTCTTCTCCAGCTCTGGTCTTTTTTCCAGCAGAGACACCCGAGGAAGATCTAACAAAACAGCTTAAATAAATAAATACGCTAGTTTGGCATTTGTCACTTATAGGCAATTTCCGTCCGTGCGGTGTTTAAACTTGTGTTTATTTACATAAGCCGCACGATGCGCTTTCCGATAATATACTTGCTATAAAGTATTTATCGTCGTCTTTACGCTAGAAACAAAGTCTAATTCGCCCATCGGCGATTTTTTCCGGATGCGGGCCTCGTATACTATCCCTTGAGGAGTTGCTGGCCGTAAGTCTGCCCAGTACCGAAGAACTGGGTAACCGCCGATAGACTAAGTCTTAACACGGTATT